GTTCAGATATGACTAAATGCATTTTTCCAGTGTATGCCTTGCTGTTTAAGTTGTGTTAAAGTGATTTGACATGCTCTCTATTCCCACTCTGTCTGAGCATCTTTTTAACTTGAACATTAATAAATCCGTGTATATTTGACCTGAGCCACCTGTTTCCAATTGGCTCTTATTAGATTTTAGCAGGTCTGTCCTTGGATTGATTGAAGTTCAATAAAGATTAAAATAAGTTCTTAAAATGACATGTTTTTAATCAACAACGCCAAAACTTTTAAACGGGTGTGAGAGACACCAAGCAAAGCCTGAACTCCTGCTCTATTAAGAAAGATGATCCTTAACTTTAAATTAAAGCTGATTCCTGCTCTGCAGCATTAGTGACGCCCCCCCCACCTCCCATCAATCCATCCAGGCCTGTGATAACCCTGGGCCCCCTCCAGTAGCTGTGATGCGGGGCCACCTTGGCTCTAAAGCCCAGCAAAGATCCTCCACCTTGCTGATGTCCGTTTTTGCTTAAGTCGCCATGAAGTGCATTTGCAGCGAAGTAATATGTAAAAAGCACAAAGAAAAAGCCTGACTTCTAATATTTCTGTCCCAAGCTTCGGCCACAGACCCCCCACCCCCTCCCCTCACAATGAAAGGGGCCCCTGGATCTTCTTAGCTGCGCCTTTTCAATGCAGACTGCTTAGTTCGCCGTTTGATGGCCAGCTCAGAAAAAGCCTATTCTAATGACTTAGCGCACCTAAACTTGAAATACTTTGATATGATTTCCGCCTCTTCATCTCATATCCTCCTTTTCGTCTCTGCCAGCAGATTTGAATGGGGTGGGGGGGGTATATTTCATGACCGCTTCGGACTGGAAATGAAGCTCAGCAGCTGCGCAAGGCTTTCCTCTCCACATCTGACCAACTTAAACTTACTGCCACCTGTTTCTTTTTTACACTCATCGGCATTTTTCCTCCGCGGATGGAGACCAGGGCGCGCGCTGCAGATGGGCCCCCTGGGGGCCCCGCGGCGCTGCTGAAAAGGCAGGTCCCTGTTTAAGTCCTGCTCCTTTTGATGCTTATCAGCGATATCGACATCTTTGCCCGACACCTCCTCACCTGGAAGCTGCCCAGACCCAGGAATAAAAATAAAATAAAAAAACACAGTGAGAAAGATATTTGCTCCTGATGGGGCCGCTGCGGCTCGATTGGATGAGATGTAGTTAATTGGGATTGCAAACCTGCCGGGATTGCCCAATCATACTTAACCCACGCACACCCACGGCGCCAAGCAGACCTGCGGAAATGCAGATTGATTTTTGGATTCCTGTGGCAGAGGCTGATCGATCAGTGATTGATAGATTTGCTGGTTTGTGGTATCAAAGGCCCTAAAGGAGATAAGTGGATATAAAAAGCAGAGATTTATACCCTACAGTTAGAGAACAAAAAGCAGGTGCAGTCAATTCAAAAGATCATTGCTTTAAAATGTATAAATAAGGAATTTTAATTCTGAATTCTGCTATCCTAAAACACAGTAAATGCTGCAGTGTTATTTGATCCCACACTAATTCTGTGTGGGATTAGGATAGGAATCCTAATACTGTGTGTTTTCTTATTTCAGTCTAAGTTTGTAGTAAGATGAATTAGCCTTTTTGTCTTTATATTAAATGCAACAAAACAGAGAACTCAAAACCTGTGCTCTATAAACACACACAAGTGTATCTCAACAACATAGTTAAAATGTAGCTTCATACAATTCATAAACTTTCCTACACCAAGCCATATTTTAAGTATTTTCTTCTATTCATGTTGATAGCATGACTTAATAAAGTTCAACAATCCAGCTTGTCAAAGAATAAAAATATTACAAAAGCCCATAAACCTATTTTTGCTAGAGAGCTGTTTTATGCCCAATAGAGATTTATTGCATATAGGCTACACAACTGTTAAAAAGTTTGGGGCCATATTGAAATGTCCTTATTTTTGAAGGAAAAGCTCTGTACTTTTCAATGAAAATAACTTTAAACTAGTC